TATATATATATATATATATATATATATGGGGCCCCCTGTGTGTACCCTCTAGACTGGGGGCCCCTGTCTGTAAGCAGAAGATAAAGAGGTGCGTGAGAGCAAGGGTTTAGGGTTTAGGGTTTAGGGTTTAGGGGTCTCATTCTAAACCCTAAACCCTAAACCCTTCTCACGTGGTGCTTAGCTGGACACTACCAACGTCTTCTTAGGGTTTAGGGTTTAGGGTTTAGGGTTTAGGGTTTAGGGTTTGTTGCAGAGGCTGTGGAGCTGACAGCGCACTGCCGCTGCAAGCTAGGGTTTAGGGTTTAGGGTTTAGATGGTTTAGGGTTTAGGGTTTAGGGTTTAGGGTTTAGGGTTTAGGTAGGCCTCAATAGATGGAGCAAGATAGAGGGGGCCCCTATCCCTAGCCACCTTTGTTTTTACTGCCTTACTAAAAGCAGATAAAAATAAAGAAACAGAGACAGCATCTTCTTCTTCTTCTCTCTCCTGCTGCTGCTGCTGCTGCTCCTCTTCCTGCTGCTGCTGCTCCTGTTGCTGCTGCTGCTGCTGATCCTGCTGCTGCTGCTGCTGCAACGCTGCAGCAAAAGCAGCATCGAAATCCTCTTCAGGCAGCAGCGGCTCTGGTGAAGACACAAGGGCCCACAGTTGCTGCCGTGTCAGTCTTCTTTCTTGGGGGCCCCCCATCTACTGGGGGGGTTTAGTATTGCCCATAGATGATCTTCTTTTTGACAGCTAACGATTTGCTGCTGCTGCTGCTGCAGTTGCTGCTGCTGCTGCAGCAAGAGCTGCTGCTGCTGCTGCTGTTGCTGCTGCTGCTGCTGCTGCTGCTGCTGCTGTTCTGGGTACAGCATACATAATGCTACGGAGCTGTTGTCTTTCTTTGTTGATAGACCGAAGGATATTTCACTAAACATTTTCTTTTCTTTTTCTTTTTCTTTTTCTTTTTCTTTTTTTCTGTTGCATGCATTCTCTTCTTTTTCTTGGGGGGGCCCCCACCATACAGGGGGCCCCCTGCTCTGCCTGGGGGCCCCCCTATCGTTGCTGCTGCACCTAGCAGCAAAAACAGCAGCAACAGCAAGCCTCTCGTTTCTTCTCTGCTGCTGCAGCTGCTGCAGTGTTGGGGGGCCCCCCTCATCTATATCAATGGGGCCCCCTTTATTAAAACTATAATTTATTTTTTTATTTTCTTCTTTATAATATAAACACTTCTTTGCTTGATCGTCTCCGTCTGGGGTTTGCTTTATACCAAAACAAACATTCTCTATATTCTTTATGGGGGGGGGCCCCCCCCCCCCCCCCCC